AGGTAGAGACCGGCTGTCGCAGCTGTGTTACAAATGGAAGGCGTCAATTGACATGGCATGTCCGCCTTAGTGCTCATTAAGACGATATCATCTGCATACTTCAGGTCAGTAATATATCTAGCTGGATATCTTGAACTGTGCTTTCGCTATATATTAAAGTCTTTGTCATTGCCGAGACAGCACTGTTTCGGAGGAGGAACGTGGTAACAGTGTTGAATAGCGTACGCGTAAACGCCTCTCCCTCGTGAAGATCACAGTTCATAGGGAAAAGCTTAAATAGCTCTCTGAAATTGACAGTAAACATGGTTCCTGCGTACATCTTTTCCAGAATGGAAACGATGTGTTCTTGTATCCCATGGCATTTTGAAATTCTCTAATCTTTGGACGTTACAGTAAATCAGCTGCAGCCTTAAAATCGATGAAACTGATAAACACAGGCAACTGGAATCGGGTAAATTGCTCAATGATCTGCGAAGACTGAAATAACTACCGCATCCAGAAGCCTGCTTCATTTCGGCGTAGTTTTTTATCAGCTGCTTTCAGCCTTTCCAGGATAATTCAAGAGAATTTTCCCGGAAAGACAGTAGGGCAATATCAGGACAGTTAGAGCACTCGATTGTCCATCCTTTTTCACATATGGGAGGGGGGACAACTATACCACAATAAAATTCTCCAGGGAATTACTTTGAAATCCAGATGCTCTGAAATAAGATATGACTTTCCTATCAAACTCTCTCTTACTAATCCTAAGCCAGAATGAGAAAAGAGGACTGTTGGGTACCGTGGGAAAGGTCTCCCGTTAAACTTAGCTACTTGCCCCTCATGGTGTTATCGTTGTCGAATGTTTCACTGTCGCCGTTGTCGCGCTGGCTGTTGAGTAACTGTTGAGACAGACATCTAAACGTCGGCAGTCAGAACCTGATTCACGCCTTCTGGCAGCTAGGCGCTTAGCAGCACGGTCGCCATCCATTCTGAAAGGAGGAGGCATATAGCGCAGTGCCATTAGCACATCAGATAAGATTCAACGAGAACGATACTGTCAGTGGAACTCAAGTCGAAAACTGGAACTCTGAGAGAAAGCATGATCTAGTAGTGAGGTCGCAAAATACTTATTGGTCATAGTCAGACTCTACCGGGATGGATTTTCTTCTTCCTGAAACTGCCTTACTATGAAGAAGGCAGTGGTCATGAAACTGGCAAGGAAGAAACGTTCTCTCCCTCACAAAATTCCACCAGAACTTCTTTCGCCGACATTTTTAATGATTGTGACACAGCTGAGCGTTCAACTACGGTTGAAAAATTTTTTTAATTTGTGATCTGTTACGTCTTAAGTTCGTTTCAACTTTCTTGATACTAAAACTTCATACAACAACTGATTCTTGTTGTATTGTATCGCTTACATTTTATGCTCAAGGAATGGTCAAAATATATTCATGGTTACCATAAAATCAGTGTAGAGGCGGCTACTCGTATGGGTGCCCTGATATACCAGGCTATGTACAAAGGCAGCAAGCAACTGACGTCATCGGTGGTATGTAAAGAACTTATACCCGCAAACATGCTGAAGCTTCTGCCAATCAACGAGTGGCTGCGAGTAATTATGTTTGCGAAGTCTGTTATATATACTAATATTTGTTTTGCAGAAAATTACGAGTTATTGCGCATCATGTGAGTGTTTAAGTCGTGATGATGCGAAGATTAAGTTTCTAGAAGAGCTTTATAAGCTCCCAACGTTTGGTTCCGCTTTCTTCGATGTTAAGGTGCGAATAGAGATTCACGATTGTAAGTAATTTTGCATCTTTCGCTTGTTTAGCAATCCGGCGACCAGTCTCTTCCTGAAAAGTTGATTTTGGCGTTCAACAAGAATGGCATTTCCATTATCCATGCAGCTACGAAAGTGAGTGGAGAACCCATGCTAGGATCTTGTTGTTTCTGGTCGTTAGGCATGCTAAAATCTTGCTTGAAACGTTGTTGGTGTGTTGCTCAATAATAGCATAACTAGGCCAAAACTGTGCACTACGTTGCAGTAGTGATCCCTTGCTTATAGACGCTTTGTGAGGCGATAATTACAGGGCAGTGTTCATGGCTATGGAGTAACTTTGATACGCAGATGCATATTACTTCAATACACAGATGTATATCATTTTTGACTAGAGCCGCGGTGTGTTCGTTATCAGTATTATTTCTGCTTCCTCTAAAAATCAGAAATATTGGTTCCTGTGCTGTCAGTGATGAATAAGAGCATAACTCTTTAAACTAGTTTCGTGATTTATGGCTCTGGCCTTTGCTCCATGGTACTCATAAAGCTATTTGAGTAAGTAACGGCTCTAATATACTTTAATGACCGTACTGCATCAGTGCCAGAGTTAAATAAAAGGATCGCTCTAGGCTCGAGTATTTTTTGAAACCAG